GCAAAGTCCCTTACACCTCATAACTCTTTTTTGCCTGTTCAAATTTTGGGGCCAATTGAGAGAGCGATTTGGGGGCTAAGTCGCGTTTGTCGTGGTCGGAATGCCAAATGGAAATTCTAACACCTTTTGTTTGAAGGTGCCTTGCTTTTGCCTAGTCCAATTCAGCTTATACCAAGTCAAGTGGTTTTTATAAATTGCGGGAGTTCCAGTCAAGCTCAGGCTAATCAGACCAGGCCAAGGAAAAGCCTAGGCAAGGAAAGGAAAGCCAACTATCGTACACAAAGAAGTGCACTTTCCCATGAAGGTGCAAATTTTTCTGTATATAACAAACTAAGGCCAACCAAGGCCAAGCCTCTTACTAGCCCTTGGCCAAAGGCTTAAACAAACTCTCTTGCACTTATTGCCAACACTAGGCTTGTTTGAAGTTGTTTGAATTTGCCTATTCCGTGTCTTAGCCAAGCCCCATTCCTAAGGCTTAAGTATAAAACAATATGTGTTCTTTCAGAGAGGTATGTGGCTGACCCATCCAAGTCCATGTCTAGGCTCTAAATTATCTAGGTTTCCACACCACTGCTTAACAAGCAGGAGAATTAGAATCAAATCCGATTAAATTGTGAGTGGTATGGCGGACGGAAAGTCCCTTACATTCCACTCTCTTTTATTCCTGGGCCAATTAGGGGTCCAAATCGGGACTGCCATGTTCGGAATGTGAGTTGTGAATGCCAACACCTAGGCTTAGCCGTGTCTTGCCTACATTGGCCTTACCCTTGTCCAGGTTAGACTAAGCCAGACCCAAGAAGTGGCTTTGTCTTTGCCTAGCCCCAGTCCAGCTTAGTTAGGCTAGGCCAAACCAGGCCCAACACTTTGCTTTACCTTGACTCGGTGAATTTGTCAGAAAGGGAAATGTTCATTTCTGCATTTTTCTTATTTCGCTGAAAAATGTGCAAGTATATTTGTTATTTCAAAAATTTCTCAGAGAAGCTTCCGTTCGGTTGAATACCCAAATATAACTGCTATTTTCCAAAATACCCATAGAAGCTTGCATTAGGCTGAAGGTGCTAATTTGTCTGAATATGATACACTAAGCCTCATCAAGGCCTAGTTGCCAAAGACGGAAACAGAGTCTAACGCAGTTCTTGCCAACACCTAAGCTTGGCTGTGCCTTGCCTTTTCCTAACCTTTGTTCAGCTTACACTAGACCAGACCAAAGAAACGGCCTTGTTTTTGCCTAGTCGAAGTCCAGCTAATATTAGGCCAAACAAAGCCTAAGATATGGCTTTACCTTGGTCTAACCCCAGTCCAGCTGAGGCTAATCAGACCACGCCCAGCCAAGCAAAGGCAAAGCAAGCCAAGTCAACTGAAATACTCAAAGAAGCATACATTCTGCCTAAGGCTCAAATATGTGTGTGTCTTTGATAGACTAAGACCAACCAGGGACTAGCCTAAGAGTAGCCCTTAGCCAAAGGCTTAATTAAGCAAAACCTCTTGCATTTATTGCCAACACCCAGAATTAGCCGTAGCCTTGCTTTGGCCTAGCCCAAGTTCAGCTTAGGCTGGACCAGACCAGGCCGAAGCCAAGCCTAGGCAAGAAATGCCAAACCAACTTTTCTAAGTACCAAACTCACACCTACGCCCTTTTGTACATTTTTTTCCTTCCTGGGGGAGGTGTGGCAGGTGGTCAGCGGGCTTTTGCATCGAAAGACGACTCGGTGAATGTGTAAAAAAAAGAAATGTCTATTTCTGGATTTTTTGTTTCCCTGCACACGGTGCACATATATGTTATTTCTGGAATGTCTCAAACAAGTTTGCATTCGGTCGAACGCTCAAATGTAGCAGCACTTTTCTAAAATACTCACAAGAGCGGGCGTTCTGTTGAAGGTGCAGATTTCTCTGTATATGATAGACTATGCCCGACCAAGGCTGAGCCTGAGACTAGCCCTTGGTCAAAAGCTAAAGCAATTCATCTTGCACTTATTGCCAACACCTAGGCTTGACCATGGCCTTGTCTTAGCCTAGAACTTGCCCAGCTTCCAAATGGCCAGACCCAAGAAGTGGCTTTGGCTTTACCTATTCCAAGTACAGCCCACAATAGGCCAGCCCAGGCTTAGGTCGTGGCTATACCTGAGCTTAGCTCCAGTCCAGCTGAGGCTGATTAAGACCAGGCTCAAGCCAAGCTTGGGCAAGGCAAGCCAATTTTCCAACATACCCTGCTAACCCTACTATGTCTGTTTCTTCGGTTTTTTACTTCCCTGCGCCATGCCTGTTACTTCCAACCGTGCTCATTGAAGCCCGCACTCGGACCAGTACGCAAATATATTTGGATCTTATAAACATATCTGTATTTCACATCTGCACTTTAAAAATACTTGTATAAGCACGCATTTTTCCGAATGCTCATATCAGTACTCAAGAAACTGATATATGCACATTCAGAAGAAAGCTGATATAAATGCACATTCCAGAATACCAAATGCCTTTGCTTTAAAACCCTGCGTAGAGGAAGTGGCCTCCTTAAGAGAGGCCACTGGAGCTAATTAACGTGTAAAGTTGTTTCTGCAAATGCAACAACTATTTATCACATCCTACCCTTGTTCATGCTGAAAAACCTGGTTTAGTCAATTTATAGCCTAAGCATCCCCTAGCCAGAAAAAATATTTAAAAATCCAGCCAGCCTCCAGCCAGCCTCCCCCAACTCCCTTGTGTACAATCTAATGGATTATTTACAAAACAGTGCCTGGGCCAGGCAGTGGAATGTTTCTTATCAGTGACAACTGTCTGGAACTTGTCATAAGCTCTTTCGGCTGTCTTTGAAGTGCTATTTTGTTTGGGTGGGTATTGTGGTGCTGGTGCAGCTTGGCTGGCACTTGGCGATGCCCCCCTCAAATCGGGATAGCCTGGGAAAAGGGCGCCACTGTACTGTGATGTACATCACAGTACGGTGGGTATTTTGGTACTTTTTAAAAGCTGTAGAGGCTAGGGGACAACCACTGAAGCATTTATATACCTTTAGGACGGACGAAGGGCTCTGCAACCCTGAGAAATGAAAGGGACTCACCAAACGACCATGTAAAAAGCAAAGCAAAGCAACCATGTAAAAATCGAATCAGAACGCAACTGTGATAAGTTGCATATTGATAACAAAGGACAGCATGTAAGGTGAAGGCGATTTCTTTTTATGGCGTTACCTGCAAAACCAAATTTTCACTACACCCAGCTAACGTTCAGGAGATAACGTGCAAGAATAGTGGAAGAAGTCAATAATTTCCGACAAGACCTTGAAATGATCAGACAAGCAGTAAGGGACATGTTACGAAGATGTCAGACGTGCATTGACAGGAATGGTGGCCATGTGGAGGACTTAGCACATTAAACTGTTGAGGTAAGTAGCAAAAACAAAGCAGATAAGATTGATTTAGCTACATTCCTTGTTTTCAAGAATGCGTGCTTAAAGCAAAGGCATTTGGTATTCTGCACGCTTGCATGGTCTAGCCTTGTTAATCACATATGCAAACTTGTCAAAGAGCCGTTTTCAGTACCCTTAACACCGGTCTAGTTTGTTCACTCATCTGTGTCAATAACATCACAAGTTGTATACCATTGCAAAGAGGGTATTCAGCCCCTTTTAAAGATACATTTCTCTTTACCATATATAAAGCAGTTTTGCTAGTACAGTAATTTTTATCTCGGTATACTGTTTATGTGGACACCCTGTATATCACTTTTTTCAGGAATTTCAATACAAGCGCGCATTTTGAATAATGTGCTATGTACACAGTTTATACTGCTTTATACTGCTTACACTGATATAAGCACGCATTCGGTAGAATCTTGCATATGGAATCCTGCAAGAATATTTCCTCTATCAAAAATCCAAATATACGCGTGCATTTGAAAGAATATGCCCACATGTATACACACTGTTACAACTGATAATATATTAATGTAGTAAACTTTCTAACCGATTATGTATCACGTGTCGACGGATAACGTAGTAGAAAAATACTCTAACCGATACTGTATCACCATAGAGCAGATGATGTACCAACCGAAAATGTATCAAACTATCAACCGATAATTTCACAGTGCCCATTACATTCTCTGTAAAACCGCAAATGACTTGGCAAAGGTTTCATAATCACGATGTCATTAGACTGGCAGTTGCTATGGCGCAGTTTTTAAATACTCGTTTCGATTGAGTTGTATGATGTTTTATGGAAATCAGTCATTTCTTCCTCCAGGATTGAACCTTGTCCCATACCATGTTCGTACAATGTTCGGCTTCTGAGTGCTGTGACGTCATGAAACCGAAAGTTTGGCGCATCCAAGATTTTGTCTCCGGGATGGGGAGGGCGGCCGCGCATCAACATACTTTTATAAGCGCGTATTCTAAAAAGTCATTTATCAGCTATATTCAAAACCTTGATATAAGCACGCAATTATATCCGGTATTTCCAAAAATACTGATAGATATCGCCCATTCAGCTGATTGTGCAAATGGCCTTTTGTCATCTTTTGTCATTTAATCAGGTATAAACTCGTTCCTAAAAAAAAAATGAATAACGTTTCCGAAACATTTTGGACAAACCACTTCGCTTTCATAAGTTGCCAACTGTAACGGGCAAAATGTTACCTGCAAGGAAAAATGAATAAGTAGTTGAGTTAAGAACGGGGACTTTTGGCCTGAGTTTTTATACTCTTTCGTATTCAAAGAGTTGGATGGGACATGAGGCAACAAGAAATTCTTTGCTTTCAACTTCGACAAGATTGCCAAATTCTGTAATATGTCTGATGAGCTTTTACTCTTTTCTCAGGCAAACCTTTTTGTAGGCAATTCGTGAGCATTTAAAACTTCCGTTATTACATTAGGCTTGCTACGTCATGTTGAATCATTTTTTTTCTTTTTTGGCGTAAGAACTCCTCGGATATCACCACTAACCATCACCATCAAACTATAGGCCTACTAGTGATAACTGAAAGAATCAAACTAAAAATCGTTTCAATTAGATTAGTATAGAGTTAATTAAACATCTTTATTATTCACTGTCATTATATCATTTATTGGTCATTGTTACAACAAAGAAAAGTACATGACATGATTACTCAACCTAATGACAATCACCCACGAACACTCAGTGTCATGTCAATTAAAAGGCAATCTTTAAATGCAAGCTTGAAATACTAAAATACATTACACAAACAAGACACTTAAATTTAAAATCAAGACATTTAAATTTAAAATTGGACGCATCAAAAATGAAAAAAAAGAGCAAAACATTCTTTTTTCCACCGTAAAGGATGAAAACATTCATAACTAAACAGACCGGTTAAGCCTAAGGGAGGTCCAAGAATGGTTGCACGGTGTAGTTTAAACCAGTTAAGTAGTAATGACGTGTAAATGGTTCAAAGGATACTAAACCATGGAGCCATGGCACCACCACTGTTAGTGTACCTTATCCTTCAGAACCGTGGTCAACACTGCCCCATAGGGTCATTGTCGTCATCCCAATACTGTGAATTGTCCCCGTGGTCTGTATTTACTTTAACTAATTACCAAAGTCGCACTTCCTTCAAAGAAGATTCCACTCATCTTATACGCTTGTACTATTGATCAATTGACAGGTAATCCTCTTTTGGTAGGGAAAGGTATGTACAAATTGCATTAAACGATTTACATGTGTGAATACTAAAACCTCTTACTGTCAATACAATACAGATATGTACAAATTGCATTAAGTTATAAGCATACGGTACTAATACCGGTTACTGTCATTAGCATTGTCATAGCTGATGACACAAGCCTCTTAATTTAGCACTATAATTGGTGTAACGTTTATCTTTTATGTCTGGGTTGTTTTGCCAACTGTTGCAAACTTTGCCAACTTATGACACAGCTTCGGAGAGATGCTGATGAATGACATCGATGCTGGTGAGGCGTTCTCGTTTCATGGCATACGAAAGTTACAATGTTTAGAGCTACAGATACGTCAGCCTTTAAGCTGAAGCCGTTTAATCAAAATCGTGAGCCTAGCGGAAAATTAAATCTATTTTTTCCCATCAAGGGCTTGCTACCACATACACGTTCATCCCGCTGCCCGTTGCAAATTCTGTCGTTCTGCCACCCACTAGCTGGCAAGTAAGTACAGTGATGTAGTAGGAAAAGGTCATTTCCAGCACAAGATCACTGTAGTGCGTCAGTTGTTACACAGTGCAACAGAATCTTTCCACATTATGGGGAGATCATGCCCATAATCGTCTATACAAGCAGCCGATACGATTACAAAACAGGCTCTAACTTGGACCAAATTCAAGAGAACGCCTGGGCGTCGCAGGGGTGCATTCCTGGGGAAGTGCAGCTTTGCCGCACCCGCGTGTGGCAAAGGTGCACACCCCATTCCCCAAAAGAAAGAATAAAATCAGTAAAAGGAGAAGAGAAGTCCAACAGAACGAATACAAAGGTTTCATGCAAATGGCAAAGGTTTCATGCACAATTTGCAGTACAGCGGCTCAGGACTAATTTCTTGGCCTGTAGCATTTCTCAATAATTAAAACGCTTAAAGATAATCGACAAGAGATTTTAAATCAGCTTTCATGGAATTGCATATATCTAACCTGTTTCAACGTTAAAGTTCATTGTCGCAAAAGGTAGGTTCATTCATGTCCTTGTAGAAATGACAACATATTCAAATCGGAAGATGAATTCGTGAATCCATACCTAAGGCTTCATGTTTAATTATAAATTACGTTCACCTTGGTTTTTAGATTGGAAGCAAACGACTTTCAATTCTCTCTGCATGTACATAACTAGTCTTGATTATTCTCGACTGTTTTAAACTGTTTTTAGGTCTGAAACTAAATTGTGGTAAAATTAAATCCTTTGGAAAATCATAAACGCTTGTTTGACGAGTCTGGCATCAACAATCCTCTTCTAACTATTGGCCTGTGCTGAAATTTGAATTTAAAATGGCATCTTCTGCACGCTTGCATGGTCTAGCCTTGTTAATCACATATGCAAACTTGTCACAGAGCGGATTTCAGTACCCTTAACACCAGTCTAGTTTGGTAACTCATTTGTGTCAAAAACATCACAAGCTGTATACTTGTAAAAGCGAAGTTTATCGTTACATTTACAATGATTCTTCCTGGGCTGTTGTGTGCATGAGGCTTCGTAACGTGGGTTAAAGCAGTGCCATTAAATATTTTTCTGAAGAAGTAGGGTAACAAGTGCAGAGAACTACTAAGCTCCTAAAACTGTTTAGAAATCCTAAATAATTCTTTCGAGGCCTGTACGCCTTTATAATAAGACACCACAATTTCTGCAGGTTTGGTAAACAAAATCGTAAGCTGTTTTTTGAGCTTCTAATAAGGGTCCATTCCCATGAAAAACTATGAAACAAAACTTACAGCATATTGTCGAGGCCATGTTAATGAATACAATGACGAGAAAGTACAGGTAAATGATTGACCTCAAGATTATCTTTTGACAGAATTACATGACATGAAATCCTTTGTAAAGTACCGAGGGTATCCTTTGTCTACCCTCCGAACTCGCTTGTTCATCCGGTAGTACCTCTTTCCACTCAAAAAGTACAGCTGACCTGCGGGCGTGAAAAAAGATTGTGGATACATAACTCAAAGGAGAAAACTTCTGGCTTGGGTTTTTAAACTGTAGGTCGTCAAAATGAAACTACAACACAGTGGAGACAAAAGCTACATTAATCTTTAATTTTGCGGTTTTTGCCCCAATTCTAAAAACCCAAAGGTGTCTGAGGACCGTGTTGATGTCATTGTTATGTTCTAGACTGGGCATTGCCCTGGACCCTAGTGGTGACATCGTTTGTCACCCAAACACAAATCGTGCATCTCCCATGCACCCCTGTTCTGTCGGACAGACCGAAATTGTTCATAAAAGTCTATAATGGTCATTCCTCCAACACCAGCTCACTCATCCCAGACTGGTCTGCCTGGCTTCATATAAGGCCTAATTCTGTACTCCCTACATCTCATAATTCTTTCAGCCCATTACCCTTACCGTCTATATTGCGGAATGCCGACAGCACCCTCTTTGGTAATCCCCTGAACACTCTCCTTAACTTCTTTGGGTAGCCTGGGTCTACGGATTGTCGCCTCTCGTCGAATCGCCACACTAGGTTCTTCTTAAAGAAGTAGGTTTTGGCCGAGTTGAAGGGCAGGGCAGCATCCAGGCCGCTAGGGAGACCCAAATCAGCCACCTGACGTGGGTAACCTGCCTCGGCATACTGGCCATAGTACACCCAGTACTTAGTACCTGAGGGATGAAATGGCAGCCAGTGGTGCAGTTATAATGGGAAAAATTACCATACAAATTTGACTTTTTGGTTCTACAGCAACAGAATTCTCTGTAGGATTTCCAAAATAGTGATGCCTTAGCAAGATGTGTTCTGCGCCTTGCTTAATCTGCGATAACTTTGAATGGTCGTAATTTGAATGTGATGATTCCTGGCGCAGTGCTGTTAAAAGAGTATTATGTGTGACAGGTTGATAACCCCTTGTTGCCTGTCCTCGAGGGAGCGCTGTGTGTCAAAAGTGGGCCAGAAGACGTGGAAGATGTGTTGAATGAAAGCAGTGAGCGGACTGGGCGGTGCTTACTAGATGGACCTTTTGTTCGCTATCAACCTGAGTCGAGAATCAAAACGTAGCAGCAGTTGCGTAAAAAATGCTAAATGTACGGGGGCATCCAGGGGTACACATATTTCTTCAAGGGGCCACCATAAGAAACTAAGCTGCAGCTGTAAAGGCATATAAACTCAATGGAAATTATGGATAGATTTCAAATGAGAAGCACCCGAGGGGACACGGACATCCGCTGACTAACGTGCCCATGTGAGCCCCCCCCCTTACCTGGGAATAATTATTTGTATGCTTTTCGTGTATGTCCTCAGCGGATTGGCCCATGCAATAATAAGCTTGCCTACCTTTTAAAAACACAGTTTTCCCGTCGCTCCTATGGTAGACAGCATTTATTTTAGCAGGCAGTTGATACCAGTAGTCATCGGTCATTCTGCCGTCAAGCGCCGTGGTGATCGTCCCGTCAACTATTTCCCAGAATCTTCCTCCCTGGACATCAACCAGCAATGCAGGAAACCTTTCACAAATCCTCCACTTCATCAATATTGTTCATTTAATAGACGTTAATACAGACATACGGATTAAGCCTGTGGCTAAAATGAAGAAGTAAGAATTGTCCGTTCTCGTTTGTGTCCTGTCAATTGCAGATGATTTGCAAAGCAACGCTGGTGGAAAAAGTCGCTGTTTAAAACCTCTTAAATTTAGGGTCGGTATACTTGTGTAATGACGCTATTGTTGAAAACATCATGTATAATGACAACTTTTAAAATCAATTGTTGCCTTCATTTTTTTAGTGACGTTTTCTTAGTGACAGAAACACGATGCAAGCCTGCAGACAGTTGCCAAATTAAGACGGCAGCCTTTTAGCATTTACAGTACAAGTAGCTCTTCGGTAACTGAAAAAAAATAAATGTGAAATATTTCATCTGATTACATGCATGCGGTATCTCAAGATAGCACATATTGTGCGATTTGCCTGCACTTGTTCCATTCTGCTGGGTAAGACTTTCTTTTTGCATTGAACAAAACACAAAATGTGATTTCAACGGGTCTAAATTACTGGAATTTAAATTTCGTCCAATACTTGCGATTCAAAATAGTGTGCCGCCTACAGTTTGCAACGCGGTGGCCTCTGTACACAATGCGCGTTTGAATGGGTTGACACCATTATATTATATAACGGAGATCAATGGTTGACACGTACGGACGTATAGGGGNGTGGTCCTTCAGATCTCATTTGATTTCCAATTTTTAGTAGGTTAACCGATGAATTTTTTAATCATCCGCCCAAAACAAACTCACCCCCCCCCCAAAAAAAGTGAATGTTGCCAAGTCCTCCTAGCGGCCATTTTTCAAATGACATCCCTCACCTTTTGGGGCTCTTCTGACTAATTTTCAATTCCATTGTGTCTGCTTTGCCCCCAGATGGGTGCCCCTGAATCTGCAGAGATGATCCTGGGCCATACTGACACAATCCCACCATTTCTTGGCCCAAACAAACCCCTCTTTTCGAAACAATCTCTGGGGGTACTTTTTGTGCGCCTCGGCCTGGCGGAGAATTTTCCAACTTGGAATTGGGACACTGCACCCATAGACATTGATCTCCATTATAGTGGAGATCAATGCGTGTAGTCCGGCAATGTGCGTTTGGAAAGTGTCGACACATTTCGCGCATTGCAATTGGCCAACGCGTTGCAAACTCTTGGTGGCACACTGTTGCAGAACGCCTGTATTGTTTACCGCAACAAAAATGCAAGAAGCACAGCTGGAATGGGGTTTAATCACGTTCATAATGAACACGCAGGCCACCAGTCTTCCACGTATAACCGTGATTTTGCAAAGTATCGACAAACAATGGGCGGAGCGGTGGATGACAGCGCGTTCAATGCGCATTACGCGCAAGACACTTGTAGTGGCTGTATTTGTTTATATGTGCTCCCAAAATACGTTCACTTTTTTGCTGTGAGGTACTGCTATCTCATCTTTTCAAATGTTGCAATTGCATCGTTTTGAATCCTTGTTAGCCAGATTAAGTAAACATAGGATTTTTACATTTAAAAAATGGCTTCATAGAATTTTATAGCTGGAATTCTTCAACTGTGCGTAAATTCCCTATTTGCCAGTAGTTTTGATTTTTGGCACGAAATCTTCATGTAGTTTTCAATGCGATCTGGTGGTCTACGCGTTTCGATTACGTCTGTGGGTTTAATACATACCTTGAAAACGTACAGGACGCCACCTATTGACGTGATAGCGTCAAATACCGTGGCACAGTGAGACACATCCTGTTGTTTGGGTTTCTGGATTTGACTAGGATTTGTACCTGGGACAGATGCGTCGAGAGAAAAAAACACTGTCAAGCAATCATCTTTTAATCGCAACATTCACAAGTGGTGATTTTGACTTTACGCCTGTGTACTTTGGCAAATTAGATGAAATATAGCCGAAAGGTTTCCTTTTCATATAACAAATTAAAGGCATGGAATGACAGAAAAGAAATATCTTTACTTTTCTGTTCCCTACGTTATAAAAGTAGAAGAGTATAAGTTCCATGATATTGGGTTTCATGAATTATCTCTCTCGATTTTTACAGAGTACAAAATATCCATCATTATCTCCCATTCTTTGACAGTTGCTGCATAAAAAGGAGTGTAACCATATAATGAGCACTTTATGAGAAAAAGCTCTTTCAGTTTACCATATAGTGACTGGATGCCCATGACGTCATCCTTTGGCAGCTTGAAGTTTTTTATGTAATGATAGTGAGGCCACATGAGTGCTGTGGGCTCCCTTGAGTGATCCAAACCGAGGCTGTGCCCTATCTCGTGGGCGGCTATCTGAAAAAAGTTATACCCTGCAAAAAAAAAACATTTTGAAAAGAAAAATTTTCGAGAGTCGTTCCCTTTTTCAGTGATGGTGAAGTGACCAAATCACTATAACTGAAATAGTTGCACCACGTCCAAGCCTATCGCCTAGTATAACATTTCAAAGTACGAATTCCAGGAAAACGTATACAATGTATCTCATGAGCGGCGATGTGGCAAAACTTGTACCCTAAGAAGGAACAAACATAGCGTCACTGAAACAGACGATTTGGAGAAGAATTGTTATTAATTTCACGTGACGGTAACAAGAGTAAATCACCATGATGAACAAACCACAGAGACAAAGATCCTTCCTGTTATATTATGAGATAATACAGATAATCTCTTAAGCATATTATTAAAGCAGAATGCTTTTAACCTTCTTGGTATTTTTGAACTGAGTGATTAATTCGTTAAATTTCAACTACTAATCTAAAATCCTCGAAGGCATCATCGCCGTCTTTAATGTCATGAAGGTAATGGTCCATGCCTTCAATAACTGTATACCAATTTCATCGCGTTTTACCTGTTTCATTAATTAAAGCCCATCAGATGAAGAGATTTGCAACTATTGATTTTACATTCACCAAACTGATGCTGTGAGGTTTGATGTTATAAGACAATGGCAGTTCTGGTCAATATTAAAAACGGATTCGGAACCTTGAATTATTGACAAATCAAACATGTTTAGAATTATCTACAGAACCATGTTTGGCCTAGCTATGGCACGAAAATTGGAAAGACGTCATAATGCGATAACGTTACAAGACATATGTTTGTTTGTTTTTTCTCAGTTTTTGTTTTGTTTTACCTCTCTTCTTTTTTAAAAGCTGGTTGCATGTTCTCTTGTTGGAAGTTCTATAGTTTTCTGAATCACGATGGAACACACCTACATATGCTAACTCCAAAACCTCTGCAATGAGAACTGAAATATTCAGCCTGCTGTCGAAAATGCAAAAAGAGCCATGAAATAACTGTATAGATTCGGTGGTTCTGTTTTGTCCCTCCAGGGCTGAAAAAACCTACTTGATCTGAACTCCACGTCTGCTTTGCAACCTATGAACTGTTAACGCCACAGGCCACAGTTACCAGCCAGGTATCAAAGCTCCCCTAAATCTCATGTGTCAAAGATTATTCCATCCGAGAGGTTATTCAATGAGATTAATCGTAACTTATTACGGGCATATGCCAGGGCGTGGGAAAATTTTCTGAGGATGGACGTCGAAAATCATGTATTTTCCATCTTAGCAAAATTGTTAACGGGTTCCATTGAAGCTGCTGGTTTAAACGGCACATAGATATCCGAAACGCAGACGTACGTTGGTGGATGCATTCACTTTCAATAGCGCGAATTTTTAATCAGATTTTGATACAACAGTGGCCCATGGGTGTCGCCAGGAGTTTTCCCGGAAGGGGGGTGGGGGGGGTGGGCAAACCACTTTTTCCAGGGGGAATTTTCGGGAAGGCAAAGCACGTGACAGCAATGAAGTGAAAATTTGAAGGGTAATTTTTAAAAAGTTTTTAGCTCATTGGTGACTTTTGTCTGCTTTTTGATTCCATTTTCTCCCCCACCCCCTTTCCTCTTTCATTACTGGAAGAGGAGGAGCAAGCACCCCTCATCCCGGCAACGTCTATGAAGCCATCTGATCGAGTTAACAGACCTCTGTCCTCGGAGTTGAACATTCGTTAGTCCCCGCCTATGGTTTTACACTATCCAGTTGAATGTTTTACAAAATGTATATTTTCCCTGATTTTCTTTCTGTTAAATTATAGCTTCATTGTTTTGGTGTTGAAAAGCGAAGGGGAAAACACCAAATGGTTTCAGAAGTCAACTTGAGTTACGTCTGACTGACATACAACACGAAGCCAAAAGTTCCTACGTTTTTTTTTCAATGTATGCATTGGCATACCGTCACGTTCATCCATTCTAGACACCACCATATTGTGCTAAGAAAACCCGGCATGCCTTTTTTATCGGGTTTCTGCTACCCGGTTTCCCGCAAGCGAAACCTTGTCCCAGTAGATTTCACATAACTCTTGACAAGCAAAATCGTGGTCTGAAACCTGGGGCCAACTTCATAAGGCTGCTTAAGCACAAAATTTGCTGAAGCGCAAACAAAACCTTGCTTAAAAAAACAAAGGTTACCAGCTCAAAATCTAAGTGATTGTCATGCTAACCAAAAGACAGGTGAATACCATTCCAAAACAATATACACCACATGGAGTTTTGGCTTTAACCTGATTTATCAAGCAAGGTTTTTTATGCTTATTTATGCAATTTTTGTGCTTAAGTAGCTCTATGAAATTGGCCCCATGGATTAAATGCAAAACTCTGCAGACATGGCTTCGGTGTTCAACAGTTCAAGGAGTTCCATTAAATCTGTTCGACTTTTAAGCATGGCCTTAAGATGGAGGATTTTCTTAGGAATGCTTGCGAGCAGTTGCAGCTCCTTCAATTCCAGACAAATCTGCCCCGGCTATTTTTTTCAACGAAGTCATGGCAGGTTTTAAAATTGCATCTTAATACATATTCATTTTTTATTGTGAAAAATCTGGAAACGCCAGTCATGTAAAAATTGTGAAATCCCAATTTTCAGGACAAGGTCCTGAAAAATTGTGTTTTCTTTTGACAGTTCAAATGGTGAATCGGGGAAGGAGCTGTGAAGTCCTAATTACGAACTACATTATGTATTGGGCAGCAGATGTACAAAACATGGAAACGTCTTCATCCGTGCCGCGTTCCAACCAAATATGTCGATACATATCTAGATCAGATCCGTAGGTTGTATAGGAAACAGAACCGACTATGAAGCACTTTGCGTCGCTTGAAGATGCCAATACAACTGGTAACGGATATGCCGCCCTCCTCATAGGACGAAACCTCAACAATCAACGTCCAATGACAGCATCCGATACAAACTCTCGGTGCCATGACGACTGACTCCTGAACTCCGTCAGGGTCACTTATTAGTTGAAAGCGCCAACACAAGAAGCAACGTGTATGGCGCAGACAGAACCAATGGATGAAAATAAGCTGGGGTTTGTTTGAGCAATCCAACCAGTTCTAACTCAAGTTGTGTGGCATAAGTTCAGTCTTGAGTCCGATGATCGTGCTTGCTTGAGCGATATATGTGCCTTTATTTCTTTGACATTTCAGGCAATCATGTTTTTAACGACGCGGCAATATAAGACCCATATCACGCCCGTGAAAATCCCCGCCAAGGCTCTTTCAAGAATGTCTCACTGGAATGTCATCCGATAATCTTGAATGATGGCGGATGTGACTGAAGCTTCCATCGTCTACATGCAGCCTGAAATCATTTTAAGCAACAGGAAGGACTTGCACTTTTAGTAGGGTTACAGACGAACTAAAGTAAGACAGCCATTGTTATTCCTTGGGCCACACGACGCCAACTCGATTTCAATTTACAAGCACATAACCTTTTTAAATCCAAGGATTACGAGAGCTAGGCAATTTTTTTCTGGTTTTCCAGCCAGGTTAAAGATAACACTGACAATAAAAATAGTACTGTAAAATGAAATAGTACAGAAATATTTTTTCTTCTGAGTTCGGCCAGTTGTTTGTTATGAATGTAAAAAAAATTGATTTTCATACATAAATGGCTGAAATAAGTTTCCCGATAAAAAGAAAGAATTTTTTTATATTACTCAAGTGCGTGCACCTGTTTTACCGCACCTGTTGCTGAATGTTTTTATGGGGGAAAATATTATTCATTATCAAATATCCGACATAGCATGATGACAAGCATATACGATTGAAGTTGATTCTCCTGCAAACTATAACCAAGGGAGTTGTTTATCCCAATCATTGCAAGGGACTTTAAGCCTAAGCTTTCACACAGAAAGAGTTGCTTATTCACTCAAAAAAAAAACAAACGCCCAGATGGAGAACGATTTCATAGTTTTCATAAACAGGACACCTTGTAAGATTACTTTGCAATGTTATTGGTAACTTTCTCCAGCGATATCTCTATTCCATCAGCGTAAATCCTGGGGAACGGGGCATATATCCCCAATTTTGTTCCGGGGGGATGAGCTATTCTCCACGTCCCCCGGCCCCCCAACTTTTTCGCAATGAGGAAAAAAGGCAGATTTTGACCCGTTTTGCGGACTATACTGCATTATATAACCATAATGCATTAAATTGCACTGAAGAAGGGAGAAAAATAAACAAAACTATAAATACGTCGTTTTAAGGTACTGCAGGGCTTCAAGTGTACATATTCAAATTTCCATGTCAGGACAATGTTTCGATTTACGTCATCTCCTCTTCCCCGTCCCCTAAAGAACCAATACGCAACTGCTTTGTTTTCAAGCATGATCTAGCTACTGCTAAAAAGAAACCAAACAAAACGTAAGGCAAAACATGAGCATCCCTCTATTTTCTTATTTGGAAGTGTTCAGGCGGTTCCAGAATTTGTACCATTGGGGGAAAATTCCAAGATGTGACAATAGGCGAAACCTCCTGTATACAGCTGCCCCACGGCTTCTGTAACTTAAGATACAGCAAGCTGAACTCTATCAAGCGACAGCGTCGTCCTTTATTACAAAGACGGAAGAGTGCATGACTGCAAAAAAAGTGCAAAAGAAACATGTGGAATGGGTTGTTTATCAGTCGTTCATAAGAAGTGGCTGAATAGGGGTATCGTAGAGGGCAGCGCTAACGGCCTAAACAGAACTAACCCTGGATGTGGCCTTGACAAATCCCGAAAGATACAAGGCTTTTAGGGTCAGGCGGAAATGCTCTGGAAAATGGGATTCCCACATCCAGCAAGCTCAAGCCCAATCATTGCGCCAACTTGTTAAACGATGTATTTTGGAGACAAGTGTGCTACCCATTAATGAATTCTTCACCCACACTCTTCCTTTCATTACTTCCAATGTATTTATTTACTTCTGAGCTTGGTGAATGTTTAAGGCTATGAAAGTTTTTCTTTGTCTTGTCTGATGGAAATTACAAATCGGTCGATCAAAAGTATATCCTTTAACTTGAAACTGACTTTGTAATACTTCTTTATTTCACAAACTATTTTATTTGAGCTCACTAGCCCAAACTGTAATAACGAAATTCCTAGGTGAATTCAGGGTAATGGATTCCGACATTTGATTCGCCGGGCGTGGCACGTATGTTGACAAATCCACTGCTTACCCCTAACCGGCCTTGGGAATTCTGCTCCAAAGTTTACCAAAGTTTTGTTGACATTTGACTACCAAATGGTGTAATTTGTCTGCTGCCATTTACTCCAAATCAGAACATGATATGACTTGATGCTCTTCCTTCTCCGAACCAACACCTTCTGCAGGGGTATAGAGGTTTTTCACAAACACGACCGGCAAAGGCATTTCAGGAAGCATACCATGTAACACAGGCTCATGCAATTTCGAATCTGTGTATTTCTACTGGCAAATTCATGTACGCCATAATGTTGAAAGACGTCAAAGGCGCGCATTTCCGCGCGCACCTGTGTAAATTGAACGCTGATCGTCAAAAATCCCGTGACTGAAAATCCTCTTTAATGGGCACTTACCCATCTGTTGCGCCAAGAGATGACAGTTGATTACCCGTTGATGCCCAAAAAGGACATGGCAGCATTGAGCTGCATGGCAAACTTTAAAGAGGGCCGATACAATGTTAGGAGTGTTGGAAATGATCTGCTAGCAGGGATGATGAAGACATATAGCGCCTTGGGCACCAGTAACGATGCACTTCTTAATACGCATACAGATACCTCAGAAATGATTGTGCGGCCAGTAGCAATGTTGAGTAATCGGTTTCAAAATCTACCAGTGGTAAATGCATGGACCTATGGATAGCTTGAGGATATTAGTGTGGGTGTAGCAACTTTAGTTCAGCTCGGCATGAGCCTGTCAGCAAGGTAATAATCATTAAGTGCCAAAAATACCTCATATTTTGCACGTACCCTGTTCGTTTTCCTCCAAGCCGAAAATCTCAGCGTCGTCAAAGTGCACATCACCGTCCACATCGCCCCACCCACTATTAGGGGAGAAAGCGTGAGCCAACTCCCCGTCCGGCCCATCAAATATCGGGTGGTCCTTGTCGATGGAATGGCTGCCCCGGAGAAACGCCATACGTATGTCGGCGTCGGACGATGCGTCCAGCTCTCGAAACTCCAGTGGGGTAACGTCGCTCCACACCCCGAAAGCTCTCTTGATGGCATTGCGCACCTCTAGAGGTTTCAATTTGCCTCTTGAGGGAAAGTTGTGGATCCTGCAGTGCAAAGGAATGAAAATCTGAACAAAACCAAAACGGTATACAAATTGGAATTGAAATGAAAACAAACACCTACGCTATCGTATCTTGTTAAGTTGACTCGATTTAATAAATCATCATGAATCTCTGCACACTTTCAACAGAGATTAATTTGAAACTGTCTCCTGTCTCTAGCATTAAGTCTTCCTCTTGTATGCTGAATTGCAATTAAAATTGTTACGTTAGAGTTAAAAAGGGATGATAGTTCACAGAGCATTTGTCCCCAAACTTAACAAAATATGTATTTAAAAAATCAGATGGAAAAGAACGGAGTTTAATCTCACTGTACTGACGTTGGGGCCAGGTTATCCAGTACGTACAGTACAGCTGCGTTCCATAAAACACACAAAACTTTTAGACGTTTTAGCGTCTCTCTTGGACTATTTAATTTTTGGAATGTTTCAAAGTAGCTAGTACATGGTATGGTGCACAGCTACAGTATCAACATAAATCAAGAAGCTCCTGCGCTTTTATATACCACCGCGACAAAAAATGGTATATTTTGCATGACTGAGCAGCGTAGGCTCTCTGAAACACTAGCAGCACATAATCCGTTACTACTGCCGTTTCAACTGCTGACATTAATCCGTCACTTTTGAAAAGCCCGAGTGCATTCAAGGCCAGGTCGGGAGAGGGGGTAAAATTTACTATTTCAGGCGGAAGGCAAATATTTGGGAATTTTATGTGACCTTTTAGGGCCTTCTTGAGGGTTGAGGTTGCATTTTAGTGTTTTAAAATGCTTTCAAAAAAAAGGGAAAGGAAGTAGTCATTTAAAAAAAAATCTTCTTTTTTTTCTCTTTTCTCCAGACTCATCCTTGACAACAACGTGACGTGTCTCCTGCAATACCCATTTAAAACTAATCACCTTAAGGATATAACAATTTGGGAATTATCATTAAAGAATGTATAATTGAATGACTCCAAATACGCTTTTATTCCCATAAGCGGGATTACTAGCCCAGGTAGGGATGACTTAGAGAGGAGCCTTTAATCCAATAAAAGGCTCATCTTTGCATTAACATTTACTTTTAAAAAATGGAAGGGGTTATGTTATTCTAGAAGCAGACTTACTGCTCCGTGAGAACTTGTGTTTCTTTAATTCTAATTCCTAGTGGTCCAATAAACTGCTTCCAAGTGCCTACATATAGAAATAGAATTTCACGGACAATTTAAATGTGACGTTAAGATTCACTTCTTTGTCACTGCCTTAACCAACTGACCACCAACCTCCCTTAAAAAACTGGAAGACTGGCTCCCAAAGCAAACACTCATTTCAGTAACATCATTTTTATCGTGAAATTTTTCAAGAAGTTCTTCATTTCCAATATCAAAACGACTTCTCTCTTCTCTTAAAAGGTTCATGGGCATAGCGGCACAAAAAACTAGAAATACAGCATATAAAGAATGCCGAAACACAAAAACCGATCTGGACACTTACCTAGACTAGTTTTTATGTGGGCTGTTACGCTAAAGTTAAAGTGATCTATAGATTTAAATACCCTATGAAACTTTGAAACGGAGAGGTAGGCCTACTACACAGAAAAAGATAAGGGATTTTTGAAGTATTATATACAAAAATATATAAACAGGGTAAACTAAGCTCGAATACATGGGAGGATCCAAAAGACAATTTGGGAAGAGTCTTTACGGTGACTCGACAAGGAGTGACACTGGGAGACTTACGAGTAGGTGAGTTTCCGTTTATCCCACTTGTACAATCCTCCACCATTGTTGTACCGCCTCGTCCGCCTCCTTTTCCCTTCTTCTTGCTTTGCCTCTGTTGCATTGCTCCTTCCAGCGAGTTCTTTCTCCAGCACCGCTACATCTGGGTACCCACATCGCGGCTTCCACATGGTCTCTTTGGTGACTGGATCCATCAAACCTGTCACCGGGAGTTGGTAGAACTGCTGGAAGGACTCGATAGCCAACTGTGCATCTTGCTCAAGGTGTTCGTCGTATGGTGGCGCCCTCTTAGGATTGGTTACGTGACCTGTAACGTAGCCGTTGACCTCCAGGTACTCAAATTCCTGTGGAATCAAGCAATCGGTACAAACCGTTAAGAACTGGGGCATCTGGATATTTTTTGGCACACTTTAGCGAAATGTATATATTTAATTTTTGTAACAATTTGTTGAACTATAAGTTTCCTGTCTTTCGATGCTGGAGGTGAGGCTTTATACACAGACCCTTTTCAAAATTCAAGGGAATTCACCTACCTGAAGTTAGTTGGTTTTGACTGACTATATTTGCGTTTAATTTACATCAACTTGCAAAAATGATGTGATTTACCTTACGATAGCAACACAACAAATTAACCTCCGAAAAACCCAGAAGGTAAGCCCTGAAACAATTTCAACACCCAAGGGACGATGTGAGGGTTTTTTCTCCAGAATGTAACCCAAAATGCTAGTGATCTTAAATCAAAATGACATCTGACAGATTTGGCTTCTCAAGCCTTTGACTGTGCTTTGCACATTATCTCTTCGGAAAATATTTGGGCTTCGTCTCTTGCTTGGCTCAGAAGAACGAACAGAAGAACTTTTCAACATTCGAGTCAAGATTTTAAGACTTTCTCAAGTTTCGGACTACGATGGTTCGTCAAGAGGTTTTCTCCCGCATTTTGTACACACCGTCAAATAGGCCTAGTCTCACAGGCACACTGGAAACAGTGTCATAGTTCAGTACTTCTCAAGCAATGAATGATGAAATGAAAAGGCCCTCAAAACATGACAAATATCAGAAGTGAAAAGACTTGGATTTTCTAATGCAGTGAACTCTTGTACACCCACCCACCCCAATCTCTATCCACACAGACCTATTCCGTCTCCGTCCCACTTTTGTTTGCTTGGTAATGTTGATCTCAGTCTGTAGGATGCGTGGACAATAGAGGCGAATAACTAGCAATTAGCCAGGCTACAGGAGTGCAGAACCTATTTTTTAATGCTGGTTCAATGATCTGTTTAATAGTAGATATGACCGATTTGTTCAAATTCATACACTACACGGTGTGGAAAATAACTGTCGCCCTTGATACATTACCAGGGTGCACTTCCACGTCACATCCCCCGCGCGAACTCCGCGTGGATTTACAGCCGCAAGTAAATCTGCCAACGGCGATATTATCAATTACCAGGGCCCGAGGTCTCCCCAGACGGATTGCCGGCGGCAAGTGTGGAGAAAAGCCCATGGTACTGGTTCAGCAAGTAGCACCTGGTGCTCACAATTGTCGGGCGGAAATGGTGTGCAAAGAGACTTTTTCACTAGATTTATAATTATGCACGCATGCGCACCAATGACCTTCGCCAAAAGGGCCATTAAAATGTACAGGAGTGCGATTTTGATCATTTCCTCTCAGGTTTTCTGGCTTTGTTCAGTTTTTCTTTGGAAAATTCCATTTAAATGGTTTTTGCTATTAGTTCCTAAAAGTTGAATTTTAGTGGTCTCTAAAAAGACTTTACAGCTGTAATTTTTCTTGTGTCCAAGGGAAGCGGGGAAAATCCCATTTAGATCAGAATGGCCCTTTCAGCTAAAGTTATTTGTGCGCATGCGTGCATAATTATTAGTTTTTTAGTGAAAAGGACTGTAAGGAGCTTTAGTCAATGATACAGAAAAAATGAGAGCATGGATCCCGCAGCCTTTTTGATCAATTACGTGATTGCATTAGACTCCAAGTCGGTGATTTGTCAAAGTTGCTGTCACTGCAACCTTGGGCGGACAAAAAACCAGACATCAAAATTACTTTAGTCACTAACAGCCAAATGGTTTTAACGTAATTGCTGCAGGCAGTGCACCTTTCATTACGACAGAACTGCCCAACGAAAATGGTATGGGCCCACGTCATCGAAGTTCCCACAAACTAAGACTACACGACCACTTGTACCTGTGATTCATGGCTGCGGTTTCTCATTTCGTAGCCTGATGAAATGAACGGTGTCGAGGCCAGTGCCTCTCTCGAGGTGCTTTAATTAAGGGTGCACTGAACTAATTCTAGCTCCTAAAATCAACAAAGATCGGAGCCCAATGGTAGGCAGCTGAAGTCCCCGAGGCTTCTCAAACAAAAAGCAATGTGCTGTTTGGTCCTTCAGATTTCATTTGATTTTCAATTTAAAATAAACTGTCTAAATTATCCGTCCAAAACAAACTCACCACCCTCCCCCCAAAAAAGTGAATATTCCCAAGTCATCTCAGAAGCCATTTTTCAAATAACATCCCTCACCTTTCTCGGGCGCTTCTGACAAATTTTCAATCACATTTTTGTCTGCTTTGACTCCAGATGGGTGCTCCTAAATTTAAAGAGATGATCCTGGGCCATACTAACACAATCCCACAATTTCTTGGCCGACAAAGACCCCCCTTTTCGAAAGAATATAAGGGGTACTTTTTAAGTGCTTGCCCGGCGGAGATTTTTCCATGAATTGGGACACTGCACCCTCAAAGGGCAATTCTACCGCATCAGAAATGCTAAAAGCCGGGTTAAAAGGTGAAGTTTAAGAGCCTAGAGAACAAAGTTACTTTCCATAAACTTGACATTAGGTCCTTCAGTAGCCGGGATATTACACTCCTCCCTGTAATAACTAACGCTACTTATATACACGTGTGATGACAGTCGAGTGCAGGGTGGACTACCCTGACTTGAAACAGACCGCACAGAGGATTATTCTGCCTCTGGTGTGTGCAGCTGTACCAACCTAGGTTCGCAAACTATTTGTCTGTGAAGCCATATCGATCAGGCGGGTTTCTCATACGCAAAGGGTATTTTCTCTCAGATGTTGGATCTGATTGTGTCCCAGGCTCGGTTGAGACTTGTTGTGCCGGAGGATTACTGGAAGTTGTAGGTTTATCAGGCGTTTGTGGATTGACTTCGGCCTCACGTTGTCGTTAGGGGATTGGCACGGTAGTACCCGTTCCAAAGTCAATATCACTGTCCAAATTTGGAGAGGCGCGAGCTGGTTTGACCAGACTTTCTTGATTGCGGATGTGGTCCAGGTGACGACGGATCCCACATCCGTTATGATCAAGTCGGATTTTAGTAGGACACCGGACCCGAGGTACCTCTGATGGTGCCCGGTAACCACTGGCAAACCGGTCTTCGTAAAGTTACGAAGGAACACGGTGCCACCAATCTGGAAAACGCGTGTCCTCGCGCTCTTGTCATTCTGTTGTTTTTGGTTTTCTTGATGGTGAATGACCCACTTTGTGACATCGGGTCGAAGATGGTCGAGAAGAGAACTTAGACGACGACCCATTAACATTTTCGTGGGAGACACTCCCGTAACACTGTGCAGGGTGATCCTGTACTTAAACAAGAATCTGCACTCCTTGGTTTCAACTGTTCCTGCAGCAACGGTTGTCGAAAGCTGAGGCAAGAACTTATCATAGGAGGTGAGTAGCCCTAGGTATGCTCTCAGTTCAGTCACATTTGTTGGTGCTGGTGCATTGTGGATAGCATTGACTTCATCGGTAGTCGGGTGCAGACCTTGTGCGTCGATTGTATGGCCCTGGTACACAAAAGAAGAGGCCATGAATTTGCATTTACTGCGCTTGCGACAAATGCCAGCTTTTTCCAAGCGAGCCAACACAATCGACAGTGTAGCGAGATGAGACTGGTCATCAGTGCCTGTGATCAAGATATCATTGAGGTATACAGTCACGTGCAGTATGCCTTGCAAAATGTTCTCCATTGTGCGTTGGAAAATCGCGGGCGCAGAGGAAACACCAAAAGGTAAGCGGGCGTAGCGGAACAAACCACAATGGGTCATGATGACCGCGTGGGCACGCGACTCCTCATCCAGGATCAGCTGTCGATATGCTTGCTAGAGGTCAGGCTTGGTGAATTTAGCTCTATCTGCAAGTGACGCAAACAAGTCTTCGGTTACCTATCCAACTTTGCAGCCTGGTACGCTGTTCACTGATTCTCACTAAAGACCTGTCTGGCTTGAGGACTGGGACGATGGGCGCTGCCCATTCTGAGAACTCAACCGGTTCGATGATTCCTGCAGCCTGAAGGCGATCAAGTTCTTTTTCCACCAATTTCCACATAGCTTATATAGGAAACAACTCGTGCTTTACAGAAGGGTCGCTGTACATCTTCGTCGACATAGATTTTGGTTGTGGTGCCTTTCAAAGTACCAAGCTCATCGTTGAACAACGCTGAATGAGCTTTGAGTACTTCGTTGATACTGGTAGTTCCACGGAGGACGTAGATTTTCTGCCAGTCCAGTTTAATTTCGCGAAGCCAGTTCCTTCCAAGTAGGCTTGGTCCGTCACCTTTGACGACGAGCAGGGCGAGTTCGTACGTCTTTACGTTATACTTGACTTCAATATTGAAGTTTCCGAGGACCATGACCTGTTCACCGGTATAAGTGTGGAGTTTCAGTTCAGTTTTCTGCAGTGTCGTATTTGACCACAGCAATGTGGATACCGGCCTCAGAGCAAAGGGAAAGCCCTTATCCGGTAGCATAAGTTACCATCAGGCAGAATAAGTGAACTGAAAGACACTTAGTTAATTTGAATCGTCTTTAATCCAGTGCTTCCTTGCCAAGATATGTGGTAAAAAAGACTTGCAGTTTTCCAATATTCCAGGAATAACAGAACTGACACTGTGACAGGAATTCTAAGGACGCGTCATGTAACTACAATAAGAACAAGTGGGTGCACACATTGAAGGTTTAACATTACATTCTGTATATTTAAGACGGTTCGGACCTCGTCATGCTGGTTGAAAAAGCATGACCACATAAGTGTCAAGTTACAGCATGGTTCGATCGGATCGGAATGTGCTAAGTATGAAAGGCAAAAGAAACATAAACACGTACAGCACAATGTGAAAGTCTTTTCCGACACCAGCGAGAGCGCTGCACCGGTGTCGACATCCATGACCAGATCGTTATTGTCGACAGACATGGTAACTTTGATGGCTTTCATGCCCGCACGATTCCTACAACACTCAAAGATAGAGTACACTAGAGTGTTGCCGTTAAAATCTGGCTGCTTGCCGTCAAAATCTGGCTCGTTGCCATCACTGTCTTTCACTATGTTTCCTGTGACACTCATTTGCTTGACTTGATGTCGCGTTTTTACGCTTTTGCCACCTCGACAGTCACTGACGATATGTCCACGTTTTGGCAGTTGAAACAAGCGTTAGTTTTTGAAGCTGCACTTAACAGGATGTTGGTTATTTTTGCCACAACGGTAGCAGGGTGTTAATTAGCGTTTTATCCATAGCTTTCGATTCAGGTTGCTTGCTTGGCTGCATGCAGGTTTGCGTGCTATGTTGCGTGCAGCCCTTGATTGGCTTTTCAATATTTTGTTCAGTGTTCCGTCATTTTGAGACGTTATCAGCAGATCCTTTTCAGTTTTAGCCGCCCTTTCCATGCTAATAAAGGCCATTGCCATTGCTTTCTCCAGTGTCAGGTTTTTCTGTGCGAGAAGGTTCTGTTGAATGCGGTCGTTTCGCTAAGCGATCGTGCAACATGTTGTCTATGGTGCTGCCATAATTGCAGGACTCTGACAGTGAGCGCAAAGCCGCTACATGTTGGGCTACGGACTCACCCTCTTCTGTTGAACTTGAATCGCTGGACGATTTCCGGTACCGGATTATGATGCTGGGTCATGCACTCTACCAGGTCATCATACGATTTATCGCCGGGTTTCGCAGGAGCCACGAGATTCCAAAGTAGTTTGCAGGCCTGAGGCCCGATCACAGTCAGTAGAACTGCTTATTTCTTTGCTGCGTTAGTTACATTGTTGGCTACAAAATAATGTTCCAATCTTTCAACGTACTGAAGCCATTCCTCCTTCCCTTCTCGAAATTCTTCGATTTTACCGATCAAGGCAGCTTTGGTCATTAATTATCCTCGTCGCCAGTTTGTAATGAACTGGTCAAAAGATACACGCAATATTTGAGTTGGAGGAACACCGACTTAATTCTATTTATGTGAGGCTCTGGAAACAAGTGCACCAAGAACTGGAAATGCACACGCAGCATTTATGATACACAGAAACAAAGTAACTTAAATACGACCATAGCGTCCACAGTCCCAAAACAAGCCGGGTTAAAAGGTGAAGTTCAAGAGGGTAGAGAACAAAGTTACTTTCCATAAACTTGGCATTAGGTCCTTCGGTAGCCGGGATTACAGGGGTGAAGATAATTGCCAACTGCAGCTGCCAGATAAATCTTCATGCCAAGTTGTGATGTATTACAACAACCATTTGCCAGCTGCTCTCGACTTGTTCTCCAAAGTCAAATGGCTACTGGTCCAGTGCATGCAGTGCAGATTCTACCATGATACCTTTGGTTATATGCATCCATATTTTACTCAATTTCTCCTTGCCGCAAAAAGGTGTTTATTTGTTTTTCTTAATTTACGCAGATTGGTTACTGTGCAAAAAAATAACAAGAAGCAATCAGATAATTCAGCAGGTAAAGTTTTTTTAAAAAAAAACAACATGTAGGATATGTAAAGCAAATTTGTCTCTTTGCAGATTTGATCTAGGGAAATACGCCACTAGACACAAACAAAACGATAGCGCAAGAAATCTAAACCTTGTCGTGAACGGGTGTCCGAGATAAAAATGGTCAACTCGCCCATTTTGACGAAAGATAGGACCTGCTGTCCAGTAAATTAGAAAGGAAACCTGTCTTGTCAGAATAATGGATGTGGGATTAATCCTTTTAATTAGTTCGTTTACAGTTGGAAAATCCGCTTGTTTACATGAACAAGAACCGAACGTGACGTGCTCTTTAAACCAGGCTGGAGAAGCTCGCCTCTGTGAACCCGAACCATGCCACCACGCTGAAGTAACGCCATTACCTCGTATCACTGTTTCGAATAAAAATACCAATTTCATGTTTTGTTTCAACCACGTACCTATCCAAGTCGACCAACGTTTGCAGAATAATACTCTTTACGTCAAAATAGCAGCATGTGATATCAATATTATATCCCTGTCATGCCGCAGGGTTTCGGTATATATGAGGGCCCAAGGGAAATCATCCATATTATTGGTAAGACTTAACAGTGGCACCCACTCTCTCAAAGACACGACCACCAATGATCCTTGTTCCTGTGCAGTATCCAACCCAGCTACTCATTTTACTGAGGAAAACTTACTTTATTAAATTAGAGTAGTGCTTAAAACGGAAAGCTTATCCGACCGCTTTGGAACGAAGAAAATCCCATTCTCAAAACTGATTGATCGAGATACATATATCTTCGGCTTCTTATTTTTTAAGACGCTGATTTCAAGCGGTGGAAGGCAGGCTCTATCGATTTCTTGGCCACGAGCGGTCTCTATGATTGCTGGGATAATGACACTGCCAGGGCACAAACATCACTTTAACACAGCGGCATTTCACAACGAAATCACTGAATTATTGGTTTGGAGAATCGGTTGTAAAGAAATGCAAAAAATGCAACCGTGGCAACGCAGGCTTAGCACAAATCGAATGTAGAAATCAAAGCCACACAGTGGCTGGCTGCAATGCCCATGGATTCAGCTTAACGTCTAGGTCTTCCTAAATGGAAAACGAATAGCTGTTACTTGTTTATAGAGGACTCAGTTGATTTTATGCTACATCTGAGCCCACCTTTATGAAGGTAACAAATGGGGAAAAAACTAAACAAAACGACATGCAAAGCCATCGCGGAATCCCCCACCTTGGTAAAACCATAGGTGGCAAAAATCAAACGGCAACGCATTCATACGGACCAAAAGGCTGTGACGAGTTAGTCTTCCACCGTTACCCAGATGCCCAATATCTAACAAAACGATGGGCATACTGGATCAATTATCCCCAAATCTATAAACCAAGATCTTTCTGAAATACCTATTTTTGGCTAAACGCCTTTTCACACCACAGCCTCTCATTATGGGTTGAACTCATGGGCGTAAATCCGGGGGGGCGTATATACGAAGTGGGAATGAGCTATTGAATCATCAATCCCCCCCACACACACACACTTTTTGTGGAGAGCAAAGAAATAGAGTGGATTGTGAGGAACTTTTCAGACTTAAATGCATTCAATATCATTCAAAAAGGGAAAAAAATTTAAAAAGCCATAAATATGCCATTTTGAATACATACCGTATTACAGATGTACATTAATATCAGGAACAGCGACCTCTGTCTAGAGTCGAATTGTGCCCCCCCCTTACACATTCTTCTGTCATCCCCCACCTTTCCCCATCCCTCGCCCCCATTTACGCCACTGGTTGAACTCAACCCTGGGCGAACCCATAACTGCCCACGACCGCCTGATTGAAATCTTCACAGACACAGATTCACGCCACTGTGAGCAAGACGTGCAAGTCGAAGGGATACAGTGAGATGGAAAGTTGAATGACAACGTCAAGTGCGAGTATTATGTTGAATGGGATCGGTCGATATGCTTGATCACGCGATCTTTGCATGATCGGTGATCTAAGTGCATGATCTGTCGATAATTCCCCCACCATCTAACCGTCTTTCGTCTGTAATTCACGGCAACATTGTGAACGATTGCTTAAAGAGGGTAAAAGGGTAGTGAAGTTGGAGATTTCATGTAGAATCGGCAGTGTCTGGAAGTTTGATATCACAACAATGACCGATTTTAGGTCTGTAGTAAGATGTGTGACACAAATGTGGGGTAACAGCACCTTAAATCAGGCTCTGCACCACCACACTGACTGACAACAGTTAACTCCCGGAAACTCAGTGGTGATGCGATCCGATAAAGTAAAAAACACGAGGAGTCATTACAGATCACAACATTACCTGGCCGTCACAACTGGTCTCATCAACCGACGCGCACGACGGGACGGGCTACACGTGGCCTATTCCCAGTTTCTCTAACATCCTGCATGTTAACTGCTGATAGGCATTGCAGGAGTCAATTTCCAAAGAATTCAGAATTTTATAGGTTTGAAAGTTTTAAGCTGTTCCCTCTTTTATTCTGCCTTTTCCTTATTTTGTTGTATTTGGTAAACGCATAAACTTTTGCGCATGGGAACTACAACAGACAATCGTTTCCCAAGAGATCATTTAGTTCCAGCTTTGTTCAAAATAATTCACAGATTCTCTTGACCCTAACCGAAAAACAATGACTGATGCAGTGTAAGTCTAAATTTCTTCGGTCTTATGAAGAAATCTTTCTTCCAAAATGCGATATGCTTCCAAGCACTGCACAGATCGTCAGGAAATTTGGATTCAAGAGGAAGAACCTTTGGGATTAAGTGCAGTTTAGCGGTTTCAAGGAAACAAGAAAAATAACTTCATCCCAGGGTAGCAGTTCTAAGCTGTGGAATTTACAAACCTGCATGGGTTCCATCTCTAGCTTCGGGCGTAAGGTTTCATGAATTTACTCGCCTGACCCTCTGGTTCAACACAGGTCCATTTCTGTCTCCGGAATGATCAGTGTATCCAATAAGAGGCTAACGTTTGAAGTGTGTTCATTAAATTCCAACACTGACATTACAAGGGAAGAAGCCGAGAAATTGCAAACAGTTCTGTGTCACCGTCACCACGGACCCTCTACTCAAGTCCGTGCCGTCACTGAAGGGGGTGCGTCAGTACAGTAAGAGTCGAACGCTCGGGGTTGCACAGCAATGTCTGGTTTCTCTCACATTCTTCCTGCACTCAAAATATGACTTCTCTTCCACCCACTTACCTTCTCGTCGAGATCCAGACGGGGTGCAACTGGAGCAGTAAGTGTCATAGGTCTGACTCCCATCGAGAGGGATCTTGCAGAATGTAAAATACAGCATGTCAGGATGACAGCATCCAGATAGACCCACAATAGCAAGTCCCGTAACACCATCTCTAAGCTAAATAAAAAGTTAAAGACAATATCCTGCTAAATGTAAAGTTCGGAAATAAGAAGATCACCTCAGGCCAGTGAATTTTTTTTAATCTTTATCTTCTTCGAACTTAAAATGACAAACCATCAAATATTTGCTCGTTGAGTTGGACTGTGAACTTTTATCATTATTTTTGGAGGACACAAACCCAAATCACAAAAAACGATGGTTAACCAAGCCCTTTAAATTGCCAATGGAGCGAGACACGCAAAATTAAATTTGGGGTCAAAAATCTGACCTCCGTTATAAAGGTTATCACAAGAGGTAAATTCTATCCTTATTTCGAACTCGTTAAAAACTCAAGGCATTTCGCCGTCAGCACGGACAAGCAGCATTGGTTACACTTGACTTCGAATGAACCGTAATTCAAGCCATAATTTAGATAAAGAACGAGCACGTGTGTCGCAGCAGCATTTGACACAATTCGTCTCGATATATCAGCCGATATTGCAAGATTGCTTTTCGAACTTGTAAATATTAGTCTCTAAGAGTAGCAAAGCTCCACAGCTGCACCTTTTCGATGAACATTCGATAAAATAAGAGTCAAAATAAACGGGGACAAAAGAAAGTGGTTTATTTAATTTTTCTTCACCCTATACATTTTAACTTAAAGAGTCTACGGTGTAATATGCAAGCATATTATTTCAATTATGGCTGATTAGAAACGATTCAAAACACAAGAAGCTAGACGTGTGGCCCCAATATGTCCAGTAGCTGTGAAAAGCCAACTTTCAATCTACATGTACACGGAAGTAAAATGCCACCAATCTATTTTCGAACACGACATTTTCAAACGAAGCACCTCTCAGTACTATAATAAATACACGCGCTTCACTTTCATCTGGGGCCGCTTTGCCATTCGTGCGTTTTGGTCCGTTGTGTATCCACTACGGAGCGTCAAAAGTGGTCAACCCCATTTTCTCATTTTCTGCTATTAAATTTTAGGGATTTTGGACTTTGCATATAGCATTATCAAAAAACGCAATTTTCAGCCAGCAGAAATTTGGATTTTTCTTTAGCAACTATCGTGGCGCGTCAAAAGTGGACAACTAAAAACTTCAAATTCCCACTGGCCAAATTACTGTCATGCTCCAAAAGTGGACAACCCCATTTTCTGCTAGTAGATTTTCGGGTTTGGGGAATTTGCGTAAAGCAAATTCAAAAACTCACTTTTCGGCTAACAAAAATTGGGAATTTACTTGAAGAAGTCTTCGTAGCGCGTCAAAAGAGGACAACTAAAAACTTCAAATTTCCACTAGCAATTTTTTTATGCTCCCAAAGAGGACAACCCCATTTTCTCCTTTTCGAAGAGGATTTTTCAGATGTTCAGGGTTTTTTTTTTCAGTTATACCACCCCTTTTCATAGAACCCAATTTTCTGCCAGCAGAAATTTGGATTTTACTTTGCCGGCGGCAGGGTAGTCCAAAAGTGGAAAAGTTGAAAACTGAAACCACCGCTATGCTCCCTACGCTCAGAATGGAACGATCTTGGGAAGATGGGCATCCAAAATTAACGGTAGAGGGTCAATGGTCTGACGGATGGCGTTACAGCTTGGAAAAATGTGGATGATTCCTATTGAGCGACTTATAGAAAACGGCCGCCGAAAGCCTAACTGTCCTCTTTGGTACCGCAAACTCTCCAGCACCCGTGCAATTAGAAAGATGGTGGCGGCTTCCCGTCGGACATTTCCGTTTTAAATAACTGAGCACATGATGATGTGTGTCCCCTAAACGATGCTGGCTGTAACAAACCATTTTTTCCTAGTCCAGCAGTATACTTGAATTTGTTGTAGAATGAAAAAAGTTCTGAATTGCAAAACGTCGTGTTAAGAGAAGAAGCTAAGTGCTGTTAACGAATTTCAAAAAGGGCAAAAAAAATAAATAAATGTTCAACATTAAAATGCAACTTGAACTTGTTGATGTTAATATTGACACCCCACAAATTCCAAAACACGTATTCTGCCAATAATTCCAATCACAAAAAAACGGATAGCCACGACGAAAATAAATCTTTCAGCCAGTACACCAGTCGGTCAGTCACTGACATGACATCAAAGATTTAATTTAATATTTATCATTCAAATCTTTGCTCAAGTCATCAATACAAGCGGGCAGTTATAGTGGAGGCCTGGGTCGTTGATATGAAGACAAATGATTCAAAGTGACAATGTGAAGAGATATTAACGCAATGAAAACACAAAGTTTCAGGTGACGTCCCAGAGCAGTCATCAGATACGTGTACTGTGAAATGCATGGACGGTGGATAGTATAACAAATCTTATTTTCAACAAATTCCTTTAAAATAATACTCTCCTCCGATAAATCCCATAAAATTCACATCGTTGACGTGAAGAAATACAAGTTGCATGAAAAAGCAGCAAGGGAATGTCCAAATGACGCCTGATGCCCGTCAACAGACGGCTCCGCACGTCTGCAGTACTACTACAAAAGACCATCACTCTGGCAGCCATTTCGCAACTTTCGTCTACATTATTTTTTTCAGGGTCAGGTGATGCCAATCTTCCGAAGACCGTTCCATTTCAACGTAGGGAGAAAAGTGTCCTTCCAGTTTTTAACTTATCCACTTTTGGACCACCTTGCAATCGTCAAAGTAAAATCCAAATTTCTGTTTGCAGAAAATTGGGTTTTCTGAAAAGGGATGGTGCAACAAAAAACCGAAAATCTTCTGGCAGAAAATGAGAAAAAGGGGTTGCCCTCTTTGGGAGCATCAAATAAAATTTGCTAGTGGAAGTTTGAAGTGTTTAGTTGTCCACTTTTGACGCACTACAAAGACTTCTTACAGTAAAATCCCAATTTTTGTAAGCAGAAAATTGAGTTTTTGAAAATGCTTTACGCAAATTCCCCAAACCCTAAAATCTACGAGCAAAAAAATGAGAAAATGGGGTTATCTACCTTTGGAGCATGACAGTAATTTTGCCAGTGGGAATTAGAAGTTTTAAGTTGTCCACTTTTGACGCGCCACGAGAGTTGTTAAAGTAAAATCCAATTTCTTCTAGTGGAAAATTGCGTTTTTTGAAAATACTTTAGGCAAAGTCCAAAATCCCGAAAATCTACTAGCAGAAAATGGGTCTGTCCACTTTTGACGCTCCATAATCCACATCCGTTTATTTTCTCAATGAACACTCTCGGCAACACGTACAGATTGGAGGCACTCCGAACAAGTGCATGTAACATGGACAGGCGCTTCACGAGCACCACCACTTGACGCGCGTTTGTATGAAAATGGAATTGATGGCTCATGAGTCATGACTTCGACTGATTTCAACCAGAGAAATGGAAGACAAGATTGCATGCGTGAATTCTGAATTACATCACTTACAGCAGAAATTACAGCAGAAAATCAAGATTAAAATTAATTCAATCACTTAATTTTTTTTCGAATGCACTATTTTTCATGCGAATGATACTCTCAGCTTCTTTAACCCTAAAGATCGTATTTGAAGATGTTATCGAATGTTTATTTGTGAGTTCCGCAACAGTGCATCATAGAGTTACATAAGTAATCTCCTAATTTAATATCCTTCACGATCTCGGCTGATCTTGAGGACACAAACATGTGAGCTTTGCACGCAGATTGCACTGACACCAATATTAGTAAGAGATTACTTTTACGTAACCTCCAACATAGCCCAGATAAATTATGCCAAGCCCTTCAGCAGGGCCAGAAGTAGCACATGCTTGTAAACTTGATCTCAGAGCTTCTTACGAGCGTGATGAATTAAAGTGCTTCACGGTATGAAATAATTATAAGTTCTAGGCCTATACTATTTTAAAATGATCCCAGCAATACCTTTTTGTGATCAAGTTCAATCTGAGGTCAATAAAATCGATTTAAACTGAAGGAAAATAAAGGATTAAGGACACAACTGCTATTTTGGGAAAGCTGCATTTACAAAAAGCACAGAGAAAAGAAGTGTTTTTTTTCTGATATAGACTGAGCGATTAGCAGGACAAATCATAGAGAGGACACTGTCGGCCTCCTCATCTACCCAAATAAAGTTAATCAAATGATCAAACTATCAATATGTACGCAAACAAAATCACGAGTTCTGAACAGCTTTTTGTAAACATGGCTACACTTCGACTTTCAGACATCAGGAATAGAATGGTGCAAATTGACAAGACTTCATGCCACTCCTGGGGCTGTCAGGTTAGACTTGGTGGGCAACTTCATTTTTAATGAATTTACCATTGCCGTATGCTTGCAGGAAACGAAACATAGGTCTCGACGACCTTACCTCTTATGAGCACCGAACAGCTTGCCAAAATCAGAATGTTCAGAATCGCCAGGATAGCTCGACTGTGCGTAATAATAAGGTCCTATCTTGTTTTCGGATCGACTGGTTAAGAAATGTAATACGTATAGCTCCTGCCTTTGGTCGTGGTCTTCAAGCGATGTGTACTTCCCAAGAAGCAAGCAGTATTGCATCCACAGGAATAGACAGTTCTTAATGTTGTTCTCAGCTGCAAGAGTTCATCTGATGTCTAGACTCAAGATGCGCTCTATCTCTAAGTGTTCTAGTTCCCTGGCTTCAACCACCCGGTGATGTGCCGACGGCTGCCAGATGACTTATCCGATGCAGCCTTCCCCTCCTTAATCGACGCTGCTGCAAACGCCGAGCGACATGATCTGGGACTATGCAGTGACCATAGAGTTAGATATAATAATCTAACTCTATGGCAGAGACCGAACGGATTGGGCAGCCTGCGCGCGCAATGCACCGAATGGCGCGAAGATGTTTAAACAACGGCTGCTCCTTTAACTTTAGGGAAATATGACCAGTAAAGCCAACTCTCAGCGGAGGCCACAAGGACAAGGAAACAAATCTGAGCACTGGTACTTACAAAATACAAACCAATTAAAGCTTGAGCCGCGTATGGAGGGGCCTTCAAAACTTCAGTGAAATCGAATGGATGAATTTGTATAGTACAATAATAACAAACAGTCGCCAGAGGGGTGAGTCGGAAGGCCAGTGGGTTACCGATATAAATCACAGCTACTTAAGCCCCCAAATGGTATCTTAATCCACCCATGAGCTCGATATTGTGGCGTCTGGTCAAAGTCACGTCTGCGACTGTTCCATGTCATTTTTTTTCGATAATCCCCATAGAAAATTTATCTATTTCTTATTTGTAAATAGAAAAATTACTGGCACAGCGAAATGCTCGAAATATTGAACTTCCGGGCAGTCGAAAATGAAAATCTGCAAATTCCACACAACAAACCTCGATCAATCTCAGCTTGTCCAGTCTATTCTCCATAGTATTTCCAATTACGTTTCCAGACTGAATTATTCAAGGAAGAGCAACAATCCATGCCGATTTCAAGTCAGTCATGGTTGTAAAGTAAGCCCCAGTTATTAAGTCGGCCGAAGAAAGGGTTCAAGTAAAATGCCGCAAGGATGTTTTGCAAAGGGTTCCTGTAAAATGCCCCGAAGAATTATGAAAATTGCCTACCATTATGGCCCTTCCAAGCATGCCGTTCCGGTCTAACCCCTACTTGAACTTTATGTAATCTCCATAAAAAGGAAAGGGCTGCAAAGTCAGTCAGCCCTATATTGAGGACCGATTGGTATGTGGCTGAAGAGCTAGGATAATGCCAAAGCTTCTTTCCTGCTGTTAGTCCAGCAGCCAAATGCCACTTTTTTCCCTGAACCATGTTTTGGAGGATATTTACTATGTTTTGACAGATTTCTGTTCTGTAGACCATGGACAACCGGAATCTGCATGATGAACTTTGATGACGTTTGGACATTTCGAGATAGAAGTGAAAATTTCCCTCATCTATTTTGATCATAAATCCAAGAGATGTGAAACTTTTATAACTATTGGTGGCGCTCTTTGAAACATGTATATTGCAAAATTGCAATTATAGTAAAGATTTCTATACAGAAAACCATTAATTACACAAGTAAAAATTAGAAACCAGTTAATTTGTATGTTGGTGTTGAAAATATTAATTAAAACTATTTATGGATTGATAAAAAGGTTTTTGTAAAATTTATTATTTTGAAAGAGTAACCAAATTGATTGGTCTGGTGCCGTCCGGACTGTGTGTACCAGTACCAGCGAATCGTAAATGGGTCTTTGCACACATGCACACACCCACATATTTATTAACAATGTCAACGTGCATGCTGAAAATTGTATCTTCGCTGATGATGTTTGGTTGGAACTTTGTCGAAGTTTTTACGGTAAATTTTGTATCCCAAATAGACAAAAGTGGTTTGATAAGCAGCAAATATCATTAACAGGTTTCTAATTGCACGCAAAGTTGATACCAGTTTTATCAGGCCTTCTTACGGCTGAGTACTCTATAGCTCGTAAAGGATGATTTCTGTAACTCAGTAAGCTTTGGTTAAATGTTGGAATAAAATTTGGGATAGTGAAGTAATAAGACCAATGTAACAAAACAGTCTTCATTTTCAAATGTAGTTTATTGCTTAAACAAACAAACAAACAAACAAACAGAACCCTGCTTCTTCTATTCAGAGAATTCAATATACCATTTTGTTTTCAGTGAATATTCAATGCATTAACTTTGGGTTGAATTGTTGCCTGCCCCAAATAAATTCCCCGTAACTTCATGGTTCAAGAAACTATCTTAGTCCATGGATGTGTTGTGGTCTTTAGAAAGTTCAGGTTAAATATCAACAAAACTATGACACCGTACCTTTAAATCTGAAAGAGTTGTAAGATTGTTGTCTTTATTCCACTGATAATCTTGATTTCAAGCCATGCTTCTAATATGGTCCTGTCTTTTTTGAGAAATATAGGCTAAGTGTCACTTGTTATTGGACTGAAAATGGCAACATATGGAAACCTTTACTTCATTCAAAGTAATTTTTTAAAAGTATGACCTCCTTTCTCAGAATATGCATATCCATCAAAAGAGGGTTCACCCCATTGGCTGCCGCACTATGTTTACCAAGTTTCCTAATCTTCAGAGATGATTACATTTGGGAAAGGATGTGAATGTCTTTTTATTAAACGTGAGAGCAATTGTGGGATGCGATTATCCCATTGAAAGGTAGCGACTATTCTATATAAATAGGTATGTGAGTCTACACTTTTAAAAACGCTGGGCAAAATGGTATTGGGTAAACTCCTTTTGTGAATTGTTGGTGCATTATTAGTCAACAATTTAGCAAATTTTGGGGTTGGGTAGGCCAAAAAAGTGACCAACGTTGGATAACCTTTCAGGTACAATAGTTGGATAAAAATTCCTTAATTGATAGGTTTTATTTTTACGCTTGTTCTGCCCACCAAGTGTTGGGGAGAAATTCGAGTAACAAACCCAACAGATTAGTATTATTCGATTGAACTGGATGACGGGGCCTAGTTGCTGGGAACTTTTTCATCATGCACACGCGCATTGGTGGTCTAATCTATTATGCATGCACAATATCTGTGGCGCATGGCTAGTGTTGCATACACATCACGACAATGGCGGCGGACCACGACCTCCTACAGTTGTTAGATAAATGGGGTTTGAGCCCCTTGATGGACGTGTTCGTAGGTGAGGATTGTACACTTAACGGATTATCACAATAAAGCTAGAGCGTGTGTGCCTGACTGAAAGCTGATTTAGCACATTTGCTCAATGACATGAATGAGAAAAGGGACATCGGGCTCACTCTTACGGCTGGCGGTGTGCACCTTATGCCTGTGCTGTATATAGGCTAGGCATGAGTGATTGCTGTAGGCCTAGATAGTTAACTGTTTTCCGTCCATACTTATACTCATTCATTGGAGCTTATACACTGATACAAATCAAACGTTTGGGTAGGCCTATCACTATCAGGTCATTTTTTCCTGAAGATAGAAAACATGCAAGCTCCTAATGCTCAACAATTGTGTATTTGATCCCACTTTTCCTTAAAAGTTGAGTAGGCCAGTACTCTGTTGGTTAAATTGTATGTGCTGCCCAATGGATGGGTTATGATAATGCACTTTTACATTCTGTTCATGCAACAAGGGCTGCACTATCCCATGGATTCTCAGATGATACAGTGGTTAAGTTGTCCTTTATTCTCCAAGTGTCCCTGGCTCACAATTGTAGTTTATCAATGAAATGAAAATTTTATAATTCCAATCGATATAATTGGCATAATGCACCTATTCCAGTTTCCACACAGGAAGTGGGTATGTGTCGTCAGATGGTAATACTAATTATTATTTTTTTTCTTTTTAGGATTATTTATTCTTACAGCTGGAAATCCCTCTTCCCCAGATTAAATCATCTTATACAAAATCAAGTCCAAATAAATAGAAGAATATAAATGAATAAGTAAAAGCCTCAATTTGTCTTCAAGCCTACATTCATGAACCATATCCATATGCTGTAATTTACACAGTGATTTGTAAGTTTGTGCTCTTTTCCCTCTTTGTTTACAGATAATGACATCGACATGGTGGCACTTGAGTTATTGACAGAGGCAGACATTGAGTAACTCATTCCCAAAATTGGTTTACGGGTCAAGTTTGTTGACAAATGGAGGAAACATGTGAGTTTGCAGTATTTTATTGTGGATTGGAACATGCTGTAAGGAACTTGTGAATAATGCTGTGCTACAAGTGTTTGAATGAAATCTGTGGTGGTGTCAATAGCTTATTCAAGCATTTGAAATGCATCCATGATGTACATTCTGGTGCTTCAACAGTTCTTGTATGCAAACAAGATGGTTGTCTGGCAACATTCCAACACCTTTCATATATCTGTATTTTCTGCGTTGTACTTCTCACAGAGCAAAAGTCATCTTTGGCCTTACTCATTTTGCCTGCCATCTTTGAGGGGAGCTCCAAGAAGGGAAACTGCTGGGGGTAAAGGCACCAAGAGAGATGTTGTTGGAATGTTCATTGACAGACAGCGGGTAAGTACATGCCACATTTTAAACCAGGAATACTTGCTTCAGATTTCTTCATATCTCTGTTACTTGGGTTTTCTATGAGATTTCTGTATCTGCTCCATGTGTATGGCTTCATCTTTTCTCTTGAACTAGAACGGCAAAGCCCCCCCTGGCTCGCTACTACATATAAATCAAAACTGCTGTATATAGGCCTACTGTTTCTCTTGTTAACCCTGGAAAGAGTGAA